TATATTTTACAAGAAACTTCAGGTTCAGGTATTTGTGTTGTCAAAAAAATTTCCGGAAAGAATGAGGTGTAGATACATTGTATAAGAAAACCACAACGATAGTTATATATTTAAGCAATAATTTTGTGTACTTGTCCATACATTCAATAAAACTGTTTTATTGAATATAGTAGGAAGGAATATACATGTAGATGCAAAAAAAACAAAACAAAAACTGTGCCAATGCTATGGTATAATGTCATTAATTCAAGATAGGTTATTGCGTTGTAAATCACTCCGGGGACGAAAAATCGGCGATAACAGGGGGTGAGAGACTGAATTTCAAAAACATATTTTATATAAAGAGTATATAATAAATATTTACACCCCCATGATTTCAAACGGGCGACCACAGTCCCTCTATCAGAGGGATAGATAGAGGGACCGTGGGTCGACCAATAATGTACATCCACCCTAAAATCAATACAATACATACACTAGTGTACAGATCAAACCATGAACCCCGATTGAAGGCCATGTATTTTCTGAAGTCACCAGTTCGTGTTAATTGACATGTTTAGATTCAATAACAGTCCCTCTGTGACTTAGCCCTAGGGTCGATTGATTAGCGGAAGGAGGCCAGCCTACAAGACTTTACTCAGGGATATCTGTGACTGTGATCCAATTTCGATGAGAAACCTTACACAATCTGTCAAAACATTGATAAGCCATTATACGTGAGTTGTAATAACATTAACTGTTCGCAGCTGAATCTTCGGCATTCTATACATAATAAGTGCTATACTTATAGTTATACATGCATTATGGATTTACCTTTTATAGGCTCAAAGTCCCAACAACGGCGCAGTGTTTTTGTTCAGTTTAAATTGTCCGCCATCTTTGTTCACACAGTAGCAAAGCATCACGGGAAAAGAAGCTGAAAAAAGAACCTCGGCGCTTAATAAATAAAGTACTGATTACAAATGGATGAAACCCCGGGGTTACCGATGCGCTTCTGTGATTCTTGGATTACGTTAATTACGTTTGATCGTAATTCTGCCCGGGAGTGCCCGAGACGAAATGGGACTGCCGGGGCGCAATGGAACTGCCGGGTCGAAATGGGACTGCCCGGACCGATATTCAACTAACTATTCAACTTGAGACAGGAATTTGACTGATCAAAATTATACTCGGCTAAAAACCTGCAATATTTCCTCAATGTTTGCGTATTTTTCTGCGTTTTTTTTTTTGGCCGTGGAGAATTCACACTAATGAGCGAAGCATATAAGCTTGGCTTGACAATTTGGTATCTAGTGTGATTCAAATAGATGAATTACATGTAATACATAATACTGAAAGAGAAATACTTTATACACAATTCACAAATGTACTTCCCACTTTTCAATCAGAAAACAATATAAACAAATTTAAATATATTATTAATACAAAAAAAAGTAAAATAATCAAGCATGTGACTAAATACTTAAAACATTGTTTCAAGAAACATGACACATAGACATGTACTTATCATACATAATTGTATATCACCACACTTCTTAGCTAATTTGCCATTTTAAACTGCATTTATCTTAATTTTCTTTAACTTCTATTTTTGTCACTGTTTTTTTTAAATTTATTACATAACAGCCTAAATGATTTGTTAACTTTCATTATGGTGTAATAAATGAAATTATTATTATTATTATTATTATTATTATTATTATTATTATTATTATTATTATTATTATTATTATTATTATTATTATTATTATTATTATTATTATTATTATTATTATATTATTATCTGGTAAAACAATGAGCTAAACACCGCGAAGTCTTAATAAAAGACATTCGTGAAAAACTTACATATGTCGGAAAAGATATAAGGAATTTATGCACAATGACGACAAAGGCACAAACAATAACAATAAACTGAGAACGTACAGAAAATTAAAAACAGCTTTTTCACCAGAAAAATACTTTCAAATAATAAAAAAACGCTGTATCGCTCTGCAATGACCAAACTGAGGATAAGTGCCCATCGCTTACAGATTGAAATGGGAATGTACAATAATATACCAATCTCTGATAGAAAATGTTCAGTTTGTGAAATTAAAGAAATTGAAAGTGATCAACGCTTTTGTGTCATGTCAGGTATACTCTAAAGAAAGAGAAAGTTTGTTAAAAAGACACAACATTATTCATGA